ATTTAAAATCTCAAACATCTAAACTAAAACCTCTTAATTAGTATGACATCTCTTATAGACATTTCAACATAAATATTTAGCCAAAAGCAATTTGTTCTTTGGAAAGATCAATTGAATCAAATATCTTAAACAGTACTGAAGCACTAAGATCCAGCCAGAAAGAAGAAACCAGAGAGATCCGCAGCTGATCCGGAGCTTGCTGGGCCAGTGGGTCCGTGCATATGTAACCCTGTGAAACACAACAACGGTAAACGGCTAATCGCCGCCAAAGCCAAAAAACTTAGGGTAGTTGTTGGCGCCTAGACTATGTGCTTTCCACGTTCTTCTTCCTTCTTCTTCTTCTATGACTAGTCTCTTTTTGTGTCTCTTCTTTCTTTTTTTTCGTTTTGTCTTTTCTTAATCTTCTTAATTATAAAAATATATATGTTGTAAGTACTGTGGAAGCATCTATCTTCGTGCTAGGCAATAGGGTTAGGGTTAGCTATGCTGTTAGGGTTAGAAATAAGAGAAATTGCAGGAATTGAGGGAGAAAGGGTTAACATGGATTAATCGCAAACTTTGAGAAACCCTAGTAGTTGTCCATCGAAGACGAAAGTGGAGGAGGCTCAACGTGAATGTTTGTTAGGGTCACAAACATTCACGTGAACACCAATTAATTAAAAATGTATAAATCTAGCTGTTTGGGTCTCTCTCTAGCTAGGTGCATATGTATGGTTAAATTTGATTCAAATTAATCATTAATTAATAATTTGATGCTTGACCAAACAGTCAACAAAGATAAACGAAAATTGCAAATTCATGAAGAAAACTAAAAACATGAAAATTTGATTTCTTCCTATTTTAATTCTACAATCTTTTTTCATTTTTCAGTTGGTGATGAGGATTCAGCTCATATTCATTATTCTTACATGTTGATTTTGTTAAGGGGAAAAAATCTCATGCATGTTGGGAAAAATAACAAAGAAATATGTGAATTAAATATTAAAGAAGAAATATATTAATTAAATAAAAAGAAAATTATTTTACTTATTGTTAATTAGCTTTGGATTAGATATAAATTGTGTGTTGAAGTTTACATGCTTAATTTTTACATAATATTATAGTAGACTCCATTCTTGTCAAAAACCTGTCATTAATTAGCTTAGATGTGACGAGACTCAAAATTAATGTTGAGCTTATATGGGGCGTGTTGAATGAGAATATTCATTTAACTTAAATATAAAGACTTGAAACTTACATATTTAACCTTCACATAATTCACATAAAAGATTTGCGAATAAGAAAGTTTGAGAAAAGGTGCACACAAGGATATGAATTTTGTTTTTTTTTTTTTTTTTAAGGATGTAAATTTTGTCAATTTTTAAATAAAATAGTAAATTTTTAATTTTTTATATTTAAAGATGTCAACTTTACATTTTTTTCTATTCAAGAATTAATTGGATAGTTAAAAAAACCATTTGGCACATTAGCATCACTATCTAATTAATCTTTCAATTTAAAAAAAAAAAATCATAAAGTTGACATTTTTAAATAAAAAAATAGAAAGTTTATTATTTTATTTAAAAAATAACTAAATTTATATTTTTAAATAAAAAAGGGACAAAATTCATATATTTATCTACATTTTTCTCTAAGAAACTTCAAATTAAATTTAGTCTAAGACGAGTCAAAATTCACAACTTTAAAGTTATGAAAATTAACTTTTATCACCGGAGCCAGATCTCATTTAATTGCCAATAATAAGAAATTGATAGATACTACTTCTGCAAAACTAATCTCATCGGAAGAGGTTTTTTAAAAGGAAATATGGATTATTAGCATGAAAAGAAGACACATACCCCACAAGAAATTAATGCCATCCTGACATGAAATTAAGTTGTAGGGGAATCAAACACCATATAATTTCGAGGGAGATTAATATTGAAATTTGCAGTAGTTTGCAGAAACCCTAAGCCCTTGCATTTAATGCCTCTTCACATGATTCCAAACTTCCTTTCCTGTCTTCCAAAATAAAACAACTCTCTTTTCCTTATGTTTTTGTCTCTCTTACAAAACCATATATTATATACATTCTGTAATTAGCAAATTTAAGACAAGACATGTTATACAGTAGACTTATTAATTTTCAAATTTAATTTGATAAAATTATAATTTTCAAAATTATTCATGACATATAGAAACTTCTAAAAAATTCCCTAGGAACTCAAATGTTGTAGATACGCCACAAACTTAATGAATTAGATATGTGTAAGCCAAAACGGCTCCAAAAAAATATAAAGAATAGAGTCCCGTAGAAGAATCTTGCTGCTGTGGGTGCCTGTTTTGTGATAATATCAAAAAAAAAAAAAAAGTTTGAACAAAACCCTAAGCTCTTGGGAGAAGAAACCCAGTAATTAAACAAGGGTAAGAACCTTGTTTGGGATTCTGTTCAAGGTTTTTAAAAAGTTTTAAGGAGGAAAGAACAGACATCTTCACCATGTTAGAAGCAAAAACATGAGAGGTCCAATGCATGTGCATTAAATGAGCATCGTGGGGATGGAGAGCTAGCTAGATTAATTCATTTTCGAGATGCATAGTTTTCTATCATGATATGGTCGTACGTAATTAATTTGAAAGTTCGATTGTTTTCTTAGCATTGGTAATCTCACTGTTTTTGGTGGGGTTTTGTGCAAAACTCATTTCTTCTCCACCTCCGAAATTTCCTGAATTTAATCTAAAGGCCGGCGATTATAGACATTGTAATTGTTTAATACTATAAATTGTAGAAGTGGTGGAATTAGACTCCTAGCCACTTGAAAAAGAGACGCCTCATAGAGAGCGAATTAATGCTAAAAAAAGATTTAGTGGCATGTTCCAAAGATGAGTTTCCTTTTTGTTTCAAAATTTTTAGTGGGAGTCTATTTCTGTGATTTATTTTATTTTTTTGTACTTCCTTTTAAAATGTCCTAATGATTAAGATCATTTAAATCTTTATATGAGCGATTTTAAATTTAAATCTTGAATTAAATGAAAAGAATTTTAAGAAAAAAAATAACTATATCTATTACGTATCCTGTCATTTGATATAAAAAAATTGATTTTATTTTTTGGTTGGTGAAATGAAATCATCCCTAATTAACTTTAGCAACTTATCTTATGTTGCATGACATTAAAAGACCTAAAGATAGTTAGAAGACACCTCTTGTAAAACAAAAGAATTTAATTAGGAAAATTTCCATCACTCATCGATGTTAGGAACAATTGGAACTACTCATTGAAATATGCTTTAGAGCTCGAGACTGGGCTAACAACTTAAAAAAAAAGCCTCCAAGATCTACATGTCGTAAAATCTTAAAAAGTCCAATCGTCTTGGGTTGGATTGGAGGCTTTTATTTAGAAGTGAGCATTCTCAAATACAAATAGGATCTGAATTATATTTGCTACTTATTTTAAAATTTTTTTGATGTAATTTTTTAAATTTGGCATCTTTTTAAATACTCAAATACTTATATTTGGTACTTAATTTAACAGATAGCGAGTAATTTGTAGGTATATACTTATATACTTGATTTAGAGAAAAAGAAAAGATCTAATATAAAATTTTATTATTATGTATGTTATATGTTTGGCTTAAATTTTATTATTTATATAAGTTGTCATTATTATGTGTGTGATTTGTTTGACTTATAAGCTTTACTTAACTTTTATTTTAATTTTTTGTATTTTACTTTTTTTATTTTTAAAAATTATTGTGATTATACAGATATTAAGTATAATAATTACATGAAATTTTCAATTATACAAATAAGTAACATATAAGTTAAATAAGTAAGATAAATGGTTATAAACCTCCATATTTATTACTTAACTTAATATTTATAAATATACTATTTTATACTTATTACATTTCTATTTATTTTACAATTCAAATATACTACTTACTTAAATAAATAAGATATTTATATAAATAATAAATGTATTCCGAGCCAATGTTCACCTCTACTTTAATTGATCCTTTGGTATGAGAAACAGACTTTAGCACCGAAATAGATCAGTGGCCTGATGTTATTGGGCCCAGAGATGCTACCGTAGGCCAGAGACAGACACGTACTGATCCGTTAAATCTTTAGTGGGCCTTTAGAGCTCGTAGAGTTACAGTATAACTCTATTTATTTTTGGTGTGTGCGTGCGAACAAGAAAATTAAAGCAAGCGGTCAATTTGAAATGTATTTTTCTTTTTTTTATAGGCGGGCTTTAAATTCATTTCTTGGTAATTTGTTCAAAAAAAAAGAAAAAAAAATTAAAGCAAGTTGAATCTGACTTGTGGGTTAAATGGCTCTAATCATTTTTATAAGGTTTATATTTTCTTCTTCAAGGGTAATGGTTCAACCCGAACTCATTACTAAAATGTTCAAAAAAAAAAAATTTTTTAAGCAAGCTAGTAATTGTAGCCACAAAAAGTTTTTTCTTTTTCTTTTTTTCTTTTTTTGTGTCCCCCTTTTTTCTTCTTGATCATTGCCATAAAAGAGTTTGGTAAGGTCACACAAAATGAACAAGTACATTAATTTTTTTATAATATTTATATAATAAGATATACATTTAATAAGTGAATATATATTAATTTATATATGACTCTCAAATAACCATAAAATATCATATTTTGTTATAATTAAACCCACACAGAACTTGTATGACTTAGAACCATTCATTTTGTGGAGGGTGGCTGTGATAATCGAAAGAATTTATCACTTTAACATTTAAGTTTTTAGTTATTATATTTTTATTTTAATAAAATTTCAATTTTGATTATCAATTTTAAAAATTTGTTCTCAACAAGTTCCGTTTTAATTTTAAATTCGACTTATAAATGTCAGCTTTTGCTTTTAAGTTTCATTTTTAATGTAATTTTTTATGGTCAATCATATTGTTATATTTTGTTGACTAGGATTTTTTTTTAATTTAGTCAGCAATTGATAATATTAGTTTCTTTCATTTTTTATTTCTCCAAGTTACATTTTTCAGATCCTGTCAACAGCTAATTCGAGGCCAATTCCATATTAAGAAAATTCCGAAAATTCCAGAGGAGAGAGAGGGCTGAGGTTTTTGTGAACGTTACTTTTGTTCAAATTATAAATTTAATTGTAATTTTATTAATTTATAAATTTTAAATAATTAATTATAATATTTAAAAATATTTATTTATAAATTAATTTTAATTAAACATTAATAAATATTAATTATTTTCATTAATTATCAATTATTTTTTTTTGAACATATTTTGCAAGGATGGGTTTCGAACCCTGCCGGAGGGAATGCACCGGTGACTAATGCAATTAGGTCTCAAGGGCAGGTGCAATTATCAATTATTTTTAATATTTAAAATAAAATAAAAATTTATCAAATTTCTATACATAAGTTATGGTGGACACAAGGGCCGTATTCATTGCCAAGAGAGAGGTATGGCCCAAGATTCCTCGTTCGGCCCTTTTCTCAAAACCGACGACTCAGTTACTCAGACACAACGGAACTGCAAATAAGATAAATGAGGCAAAAAAATTTAAAATTAAAATTTAAAACTAACTATGTTATATAAATGATAAGAAATAGTATTTATCAATTTTATCTCTTAAAGATTAAAAAAAAAATTATTTTAAAATTACATTATTTCAATAAATTTTTTTGAAAAAGATTAAATTATTTTATTTTTAAAACATGCATTAAGGTAATTTTTATCTTTTTTTTCTCTTAATTTTTTAGAGATAAAGCAAACAAGCACCAATCCCTAAATTATATCATTTAAAATATTAAATAATAAATTTTATATTATTTAATAATAATTTTTTATTTTTTTAACTCATAATATTATATATATTAATTAATTAAAATTCCCTAATCTTTACCCTTAAAATATAGATGAAGAGTTTTGAAAAAATAAATATTAATATTTAATTTATCGTCAATAATTTAAATAATTTAGTTATAATTTTTTTACTAAAAATAAAAAATTTTAAATTCAAATCACATGACATGCAAGTAAAATAAAATAAAAAATACGAAAGAGTCACATTCTATTTGTAATAAATATTAAAAAAAAATTATCATTTCTCTAATTAAACTTATTCAAGTAAAAATAATTTTAAAATTAATATCAATTTTTATATTGTTGATATATATTTATAAAAAAAAAATACGGTTAACCTGGGCATAGCTTTAAAAAAATCCTAATTAATTTAATAACCTAATAAACACAATATCATTCATTTAAAAAATTTCAATCCAAATTTTCCTACCCGTGTCCTTACTCAACTGCAGTCTATTGAAGTGGAAATGCTGTAATGACGAGGAAGTTAGGAGATATTTCCAGAATTCCATATCCAGGCTGTAACAACCACGAGCCCGCCACGCGCCCACCTCCACCTCTCTATATCCACCGTCCACTTTTCACTTATCCAGTGGTCCCCATCGCATTTTCAGCCGTCCATATAGTGATGTGTAACCGCTGCCATCTTTATCTTCCCGTCTTCTTCGCCAATCGCCACACGCCCCGTTTTCCTCCATTTTCTCTCAGCATTTGGGTCGAAAGTCTCAGTCTTCTCGGTAGTTCGTTCTATCAATCAGTCCATTTTCCATCTCTGTTGCTGCTATCTCTCTCCGTTCTGAAGCTATGTTACTCAAGGCTGCTTCGGCGATCTCTTCGCTGACCACTCAAGGGGACAACCTGCGTCCTCTGTTTTCATCTGGTTCTTGTCAAGGATCTCAAAATTCTGGGGTGGTTAGGGTTTCGACCCGCAAAAACAGACCTGGGATTGTGGTTTCTGCGTCCAAAGGAGCTAATGACCGGCCGCTTACCGGTGTTATTTTTGAGCCCTTTGAGGAGGTCAAGAAGGAGCTGAGTCTGGTTCCCACTACCCTTCAAGTGTCTCTTGCTCGACAGAAGTTTACAGGTGATTGTGAAGCCGCGATCAATGAACAAATCAAGTGAGTTTTGCCCATCTTACTGTTTGAGGCAACTGCCAGCTCTTAAAATGTGTTTTTATAGTCTTTTTTTTTTTTTTCTTTTTCTTTTCTCCTGGGTTTTAGTCTTTAGATTTTTTTAACTTCAAAAAAGTGTAAAGATGCTTTCTTTTTGGGTTATTTTGATTAATTGGTGTCTCTGGTCGGTCTCATTGTTAGAGAACTCTGTTCTTGTTGTCTTGTGCTGTTTTGTAGTTCTTTGTGCCAGTTTGTATATGCTCTGTTCTAATGATTTCTGTGAATCTTTTGGGATGACAGTGTGGAGTATAATGTCTCGTACGTGTACCATGCCTTGTTTGCTTATTTTGACAGGGACAATGTTGCACTCAAGGGTCTTGCCAAGTAATTAACTTTCTGAACATCTTCAACTTTTCTAAGTTTTCTTTCTTTTGAGTTAAAAGCTTGCTTTTGGTTTTTTTGAATAGATTTTTCAAGGAATCAAGTTTAGAAGAGAGAGAGCACGCTGAGAAATTGATGGAGTACCAGGTTTTTGATTTATGATGATGCTGTTGTATATGACCTCTGTCATTATTTTAATTTGAATTTCAATTCTCATTGAGATTGTTGTTTGCTTAACTTCCAGAACAAACGAGGTGGAAAAGTGAAGTTGCAGTCTATTGTCATGCCTCTCTCTGAGTTTGATCATGCAGAGAAAGGAGATGCGTTGCATGGTAAGTACATCCAAGATTTATTTTCAACTGTTGCTATTTGACCTGTGTTTGTATGGATTTGTTTATTGTTAGTTAGTTATAAAGTATTTGTTTGATTTGCAAATTCATATATATGGAGCAGATTTTTTCCTCTAACAAGATTGAAAATATTCAAGTGATTCATGGAAGCATATTTCTAAATTCTAAATGTGCTTTCTTTCATGTGAAGAAACTTGTTGATTTTTTCCTATAACCATGCATGCTTGCTTGGAACTCTGTATTTTTTGATGTTAAAATTCAGAAACGAACCTGTAATTTTGAAAAAAAAAGCTAAGCAATACATGCTCTATCTGAGAAGTTATGTTCTATGATTGAAGTGCTATTAGATCTGTAGTTTTATTTAATTCAATCTAATTCCTTGATCCAGCAATGGAGCTTGCATTATCTCTGGAGAAACTAACCAATGAGAAGCTCCTGAACTTGCAGAGTGTAAGATATCTTAACATTTTCATTCTTGCAGCCACTTTTCCCTTTTCCTGGTGTGGGATGCTTCGGAAGGTATTTTCTTTCTTTGGACTAATTCTCATGACTCTGACCAAAAACAGGTGGCGGTGCGAAACAATGATGTTCAGTTGGTAGATTTTGTTGAGAGTCAATACTTAAGTGAGCAGGTAAACAACATAGATGTTTCCCTACGCATGTTGCTAGAAACTTTCTTATAATTACCAGTTCATATGCCAAATTAATACAATACTTCTTATAATTTTGGCTTGGCCTTTACATTTTTTCCTTTCTTTTTTGTAGGTGGAAGCCATCAAGAAGATAGCAGAATATGTTGCTCAGTTGAGAAGAGTGGGCAAAGGACATGGTAGGAATCTAAAGCTCTCAGTCTTCATTGTTATACCCTTGTTTCATCTCATTCTTACATTCTCATGTCTTGGAGTTTTCTTGTTCTCTAAATCTATTATTTTGCTGGATTCTCAGGCGTCTGGCACTTCGATCAGATGCTCCTTCATGAGGGAGAGGAAGTGGTTGCATGATGCTTCGGATTGCTGGCTGGTTTCATCTTGGAAGTTTATTTTATCTTATGTTAGTTTCATCTTGGAAGTTTTCTATAGGACCTTTTGTTTGTAGCCTCTGAGTTCTGTCCATGGTAGATGAGCACGTATGGATTTTCCTTTTAATCATCTTAGTCAAAAGTTTTTCTCTAAGAGCTTCTGTCAGCTACTTCCTTCAATCACGTTTTTGAGCACGAAAGTAATGTTTACAGTCACTCAATTTCCACTGTTAAAATCCTTCTGCTGGATTTTAAATGACCGGGTACTCGCTCTTCCTATCATCTGTCCTGGTAGGAAGGCAGGAAATGAGACTTGTGATCTATGAATTGGTTTTTTTTTTCTTCTTTTTTGAACTAAGGAAAATTTTGAGGGAAGGAAAAAATATTACAATCGTCTCAATAAAGATTTAAACCTTAGTATAAATTAGAGTATTTGGTGCACATTAACAGTCTATCAGGGTAGCTAGTGCAAATTGTTTGGTTTTTTGACCCTCAAAGGTTTGGTCGACTGAAATTTGTGTGTGGATAATCTGGTTTTTCCTAATTCCGAAAGGTAGAAATTGACCGATTTCTGTATTACATTGCATCTCGTCTTGAGGGCACAAATCTGTCTCTTGATCTTATGGGCCCTTAATAAAGATTCACGAAAATTGCACCGGGTGTCTGGGTCCCTTTCCGTCCTGCTCAGAGACCGGCCTTGGTACATCAAAGTTGCATCATTCAGGTCTTTAGCGTGATTGCCACCAAAAGTTGCATCATTCAGTTCTTCAGCGTGACTGCCACCAAGATGGTGGTGTTGTAACTGTTATCGTTGTTGTCGTTATTATCGGTTTTTTTTTTTTATCTTAATCATCCAGGCCTTTATGACAGGACATTTCAATTTATTAGTTTATCTATTCTTGTTTTTTAAAATATAAGATAAAAATAATAATTGTATAATAATAATA